AGTGTTACTGATATTGTTTGTATACCTGCAGTGTTTACGGACATTGTTTGTATACCTGCAGTGTTTACTGATATTGTTTGTATACCTGTAGTGTTTACGGACATTGTTTGTATACCTGCAGTGTTTACTGATATTGTTTGTATACCTGCAGTGTTTATGGACATTGTTTGTATACCTTTACGGATATTGTTGTATACCTGTAGTTTTACGGATATTGTTTGTATACCTGCAGTGTTTACGGATATTGTTTGTATACCTGTATTTATGGACATTGTTTGTATACCTGCAGTGTTTACGGATTTTGTTTGTATACCTGCAGTGTTTACGGACATTGTTTGTATACCTGCGGTGTTTGGACATTGTTTGTATACCTGCAGTGTTTACGGATATTGTTTTGCAGTGTTTACGGACATTGTTTGTATACCTGCAGTGTTTGTACCGGACATTGTTTTGTATACCTGCAGTGTTTACAGATATGTTTGTATACCTGTAGTGTTTACGGACATTGCTTGTATACGTGAAGTGTTTAGGACATTGTTTGTATACCTGCAGTGTTTACGGACATTGTTTGTATACCTGCAGTGTTTACGGATATTGTTTGTATACCTGCAGTGTTTACGGACATTGTTTGTATACCTGCAGTGTTTACGGACATTGTTTGTATACCTGCAGTGTTTGGACTTTGTTTATACCTGTAGTGTTTACGGACATTGCTTGTATACGTGAAGTGTTTACGGACATTGTTTGTATACGGTGTTTGCGGACATTGTTTGTATACCTGCAGTGTTTGGACATTGTTTGTATACCTGCAGTGTCTACGGACATGTTGCTTACCTGCAGTGTTTACGGATATTGTTTGTATACCTGTAGTGTCTACGAACATTGTTTTATACTCTGCAGTGTCTACGACATTGTTTGTATACTCTGCAGTGTCTACAGACATTGTTTTGTATACCTGCGTGTTTACGGACATTGTTTGTATACCTGCAGTGTCTACGGACATTGTTTGTATACGCACGTGTTTAGGGATATTGTTTGTATACCTGTAGTGTCTACGAACATTGTTTGTATACTCTGCGGTGTCTACGGACATTGTTTATGCACCTGCAGTGTTTACGGATATTGTTTGTATACCTGTAGTGTTTATGGATGTTTGTATACCTGCAGTGTTTACGGACATTGCTTGTATACATGAAGTGTTTACGGACATTGTTTATACTCTGCAATGTCTACGGATGTGTTGTTTATACCTGTAGTGTCTACGGATATTGTTTGTATACCTGCAGTGTTTACGGACATTGTTTGTATACCTGCAGTGTTTACGGACATTTTTGTATACCTGCAGTGTTTCGGACATTTTTATATACCTGCAGTGTCTGGATATTGTTTGTATACCTGCAGTGTCTACGGACATTTTTATATACCTGCAGTGTCTACGAACATTGTTTGTACCCGCGTTTATACGACATTGTTTGTATACCTGCAGTGTCTACGGACATTTTTTGTATACCCGCAGTGTCTGCTGAGAGTTTGTTGATACCTGCAGTGTCTACTGGGATATTGTTTGTATACCTGCAGTGTTTATGATTATTGCGTCTACTCGCAGTGTCTACGTACATTGTTTGTATACCTGCAGTGTCTATTGATATTGTTTGTATACCTGCAGTGTCTACGGACACATACCTGCAGGTTTACGGATATTGTATACCTGCAGTGTCTTAGACATTGTTTGTATACCTGCAGTGTCTACGGACATTGTTTGTATACCTGCAGTGTCTAGCGGACATTGTTGGTGTTTAGATACGTTTCTGCAGTGTCTACGGATATTGTTTGTATACCTGCAGTGTTTACGGACATTGTATACCTGCAGTGTCTGGATATTGTTTGTATACCTGCAGTGTCTGATGCGGACATTGTTTGTATACCTGCAGTGTTCATGGACATTGTTTGGTATACCGCAGTGTCTATGACATTGTTTGTATACCTGCAGTGTTTACGACATTGCATACCTGCAGTCTACGGTTATTGTTTGTATACCTGCAGTGCTCGGCGGACATTGTTTGTACCTGCAGTGCTTTGATGGACATTGTTTGTATACCTGCAGGTTACGGGACATTGTATACCTGCAGTGTCACGGATATTGTTTGTATACCGCAGTGTCTACGACATTGTTTGTATACCTGCAGTGTTTACGGACATTGTTTGTATACCTGCAGTGTTTACGACATTGTATACCTGCAGGTTTACGTGCATGTTTGTTACCTGCAGTGTTTATGTATTGTTTGTATACATGCAGTGTCTACGGACATTGTTTGTATACCCGCAGTGTCTACGGACATTGTTTGTATACCTGCATGTCGTTGACATTGTTTGTATACCTGCAGTGTCTAGCGGACATTGTTTGTATACCTGCAGTGCTTATGACATTGTTTTAGTACCTGCAGTGTTTACGGACATTGCTTGTTGTATACCTGCAGTGTCTATGGATACGTTTTATGCCTGCAGTGTCTAAGGACATTGGTTTGGTATACCGCAGTGTTTAGGTACTTTGTTTGTATGCCTGCAGTGTCTAGGGACATTTTTTGTATACCTGCAGTGTTTAGGACATTGTTTGTATACCTGTAGTGTCTAGGACATTTGTATACCGCAGTGTCTATAAATTGTTTGTATACCTGCAGTGTTTAGGGACATTTTTTTGTATACCTGCAGTGTCTAGGTACGGTTTGTATACCTGCAGTGTTTAGGTCATTGTTTGTATACCGCAGGTCTAGGGTATTGTTTATACCTGCAGTGTCTGAGTTCATTGTTTGTATACCTGCAGTGTTTGGGTTCGATTGTTTGTATACCTGCAGTGTCTGGATACGTTTGTATACCTGGTGTCTGTTGACATTGTTTGTATAATTTGCAGTGTCTAGGTGCATTGTTTGTATACCTGTAGTGTTCTTGAGTGTGATACCTGCAGTGTCTAGGTATTGTTTGTATACCTGCAGTGTTTAGGGACAAGTTTGTTACCTGCAGTGTTTAGGTACATTTTTGGGTGATACCTGCAGTGTTTATAGATATTGTTTGTATACCTGCAGTGTCTGGGACATTGTTTGTATACCTGCAGTGTCTGGGTATTGTTTATACTTGCAGTGTTTAGGTACATTGTTGTTTGTTACCTGCAGTGTCTAGGACGTTTTTTATACCTTGCAGTGTCTAGGTATATTGTTTGTATACCTGCAGTGTTAGATGTTTGTATACTTGCAGTGTTTAGTGTTCATTGTTTGTATACCTGCAGTGTGTTTAGGTACATTGTTTGTATACCTGCAGTGTTTAGGTTCATTGTTTGTATACCTGCATTGTCTAGGTGTATTTTTGTATACCTGCAGTGTTTAGGTTATTGTTTGTATGCCTGCGTTCTGGATATTGTTTGTATACCTGCAGTGTTTATGGCATGTGTTGTATACCGCAGTGTCTGGGTACATTGTTTGTTTACTCGTGCTGTGTTCATTGTTTGTTTACGGTTCTGCAGTGTTTAGGTTCATTGTTTGGTATGCGTTCTGGGCATTGTTTGTATACCTGCAGTGTCTAGGTACATTGTTTGTATACCTGCAGTGTCTGGCGGACATTGTTTGTATACCTGCAGTGTCTAGGTACATTGTTTTATACCTGCAGTGCTCGATGACATTGTTTGTATACCTGCAGTGTCTGGAATTTGTGTTTGTATACCTGCAGTGTCTGGGTGCATTGTTTGTATACCTGCGGTGTCTGGAGTACGTTGTTTGTATACCTGCAGTGTCTAGGTACATTGTTTGTATACCTGCAGTATAGGTACATTGTTTGTATGCAGTGTCTAGGTACATTCTGCCTTCATAGCTATTCATGCATTTCTATATACATGCTTAATCAATGTAAACTTCTAGACAAATTTACTGAATATCATCTGTGTCTATCTATTCATCTATCTATTCATCTATCTATCTATCTATCGAGACGGACATTGGTTGGCTAATTAACCTTGGCGTGTTAGTTTCACACCTTGGTCAGTCTAAAGGTAGGATATTGCCTATAAGCGTTGGTCAACACCTTGCGTAAGTGCAATGTCGTTGTTGGTAGTGGTTGTAATTGTTATTTGTTATGGTATTGTTGGTAGTAGTGGTGTTGATGTTGTTGGTGGTAATAGTTGGTAATGTTGTGCTTGTTGTTATTGTTGTTGGTACTAATGGTGATGTTGGTGGTAGTGTTTAGTTGTTGTTGTTTGGTGGTGGTGGTGGTGGTGGTGGTGGTGGTGGTGGTGGTGGTGGTGGTGGTGGTGGTGGTGGTGGTGGTGGTGGTGGTGGTGGTGGTGGTGGTGGTAGCAGTAGTTATTATTATTGGTGTTGTAGTATATTTTATTAAGTGTGACAACTAACGAGAACAGTAAAGACGTTCCCTAGATCTGAACTCTTTACAAACAAAAGTAATTTTTTTGTTATTATTAGGAAAGAACCATTTCTCTACGACAGTGTTTAAATCATCGTCGTCAAGGGGTTAAATCATCGTCATTAAAGGGTTAAATCATCGTCATTAAAGGGTTAAATCATCGTCATTAAATGGTTCAATCACCGTCATTAAAGGGTTAAATCATCGTCATTAAAGGGTTAAATCATCGTCATTAAAGGGTTAAATCACCGTCATTAAAGGGTTAAATCATCGTCATTAAATGGTTCAATCATCGTCGTCAACAGGTTAAATCACCGTCATTAAAGGGTTAAATCATCGTCGTTAAATGGTTAAATCATCGTCATTAAAGGGTTAAATCATCGTCGTCAAAGGGTTAATGTCGCGCTACTTACACAATAGTTCCGTGGAGATAAGACGAATGTGTTAAACTTTTAATTTCCTGTTATTCCTTACGTACGAGAGAATAATACAAACTCCAATAAGACAACATTTCATAGACTGATAACACCGTGACGTCATCCACACCTGGGAAAGTACAGCGAAAGGGAGGCTCGGTAAAGCCTCGTTTCCTACCACCCTCGCCTTAGTCTATTGCCAGCAGCCGAGGGGACAACACCTCCGTATTACTCTCCCGTGTTTATTATTGTCTTGCTTCGGGGATTCAATTCTTATAAGGAACTAAGGTTGTGGTTGGTGAATTTATGACTGTTTCTCCAAGTGACTAGTGGCATTAAGTAAGAAGTGGAGATACTATACAGTATAGTGAGACGGCAATACCCTATGAGATAATATTGGTGTAGTTATCGTTCTTTCTCTCTATAGTAGTATAGTTGAGCTTGGTGATTACACTATAACGGTGATTAAGACACAAACTAACCAACGTAAATAACGCATTAATAAAATAACAGCAAGAATTACTCAGTGCGGTACAGACGGGTGAGAAGCTCGCCTTGAGGGAGAGACTAGTAAACACAGCCCAAGCAAATGTCGAGTATGGAGGCCTCACAACCAGACAACAGCAGCAGAGACGTGAGTACGAATGTGTATTATGACACGTGTCTGTTATCACGAAAATCATAGCTAAATTCTGTCCATGATGTTAAGTAAAGCTGGCAGGCAAAGTACGTGAATCATACTCAAGCAACAAATACAATCTTATACTAATTAGTGCAACCACAAAAAAAAAAACAATAATGGTGTGAGTAACTATAGTATTGTGAGTGCATAAACTATAATAAATATAGTTTCAAATGTCAGTATTGAGTGCTTGCAGTAGCCATGTTTCAGATCAATCTGGTGTGTTATCAGTGGGAGTTAAGATATGATATGGATGGATAGGTGTGTTTATGACTTGAGGCCCTGGTTCAGCTTTCCACCGCATGAGGGCGCCACCAGACCATATAGATTTCATTATTCTTTTAATTTGTTATATAGTGTAGTTGATTTACCCGTCTGTCCAGGTAAAAAATCAAATTAATTATCTTCAGATCCATAATAAAGACTATTTTTCAGAATAGCACGAGGGATTTAGAAATATACATCCATATTATATCCACTATGCATCCTAAAACATGTACACTGTGAAGATGGTATGTGGCAACAACAACAACCCCCCCCCCCACACACACACACAAATTGAAACACCGGAAAAACGCAAGTAGAGAATTCATAGAAATTTTACACTTTTTTACCTCATCCTCAATTGCACGCTAAGGTATCCTTCCTCCCCGGTCTTTGTCCTCAATAGGTGTTTCGATGCATCCTCTACCGGAACTCCTGGTTCGAGGGAAGTCGTAGTGATAGTAAATAAAGTGTCGTGAAGTCACTTAAAAACCTGTATCGTGCATATATTCTCTCAAATATTACATCATGTACAATACAGCGTAGCTTCGAGCTACCACATTGCACCACTGAACGATGAGGGGGGGGAGGGGGGACGTTCGGTATGAAGCCAAGGTTACTACTTCCATCGAGACTATGATGTGGTATATCTTGACTTTAGCAAAGCCTTCGACATAGTCCCCCACGAAAGACTAATAAGAAAAGTGGAGGCTCACGGCATTGGAGAAGATATTCTAAAATGGATTAATGCGTTGTTACAGGACAGAAAACAGCGAGTGGGCATTAACGGCACGAGTGGAGTAACGTCACTACTAGTAGAGTACCCCAAAGCTCAGTACTTATTATTTATTATATACATAAACGACATTAATATCGGCGTAGACAGCGACGTAAGTAAATTTCCTGATGACACTAAAATAGGGGGTGTAATTAAATCTGACGAGGACTCCGCAAAACTACAGGAAGATTTAAACAAATTTTTCGAATGGTCTGAAAAATGGCAGATGAAAATCAATGTGGACAAATGTAAAGTACTTGGTCTAGAACAGGGGTTCTCAACCAGGGGGGAATTCCCCCCAGGGGGGGAATTCAGGTTTTCAGGGGGGAGGGAAAACTGATTCGGGAGCAAGAGATATGTTCGATGAGAAATCAATCACAGAATTTTGGCCCTTGATGTGCGATTCCTACCCAAAAGTGGCAGAAAGAGCTATCCGTGCATTGCTTCCGTTTGTGTTGACATATCTTTGTGAGTCAGGCTTTTCAACTCTGTTGCAAATTAAAACGAAGCAACGTAGTAGATTAGAGGTAGAAAATGACCTGCGTTGTGCCCTTTCAAGCACTCCTCCGCGTATCCCAGAATTGGCGAAGAAAAAACAATCACAGGTTTCTCATTGACTGTAATCTTCATCTGAATAAAATTAATTACAAATTTACAATATCCTGGTATTCTATTGAACTTTTTGTTTATTGCATTATGCTTCAGTTTGGTCTGTTAAGTAATTCATTATAAATATAAAAAAACTATTTTACTTTTATTCAAGTTTTATAAATCCATCAACATTTTCAATTGGCATTTAATTTGTAAAACTCCACTATAAAAATAATCCATGTAAAATTGTAAATGTATATGTACTAATATGGAAAAAATAAAGGATTTTCAGTATTATATGCATATTATTTGGAATGCACTTTTTGAGGCAGACAATCTTGGAAAGGAGGGGGGAATGACATTCTGACATATGGTGAAAGGGGTGCATGGGGCAAACAAGGTTGAGAACCACTGGTCTAGAAGATGTAAACAGAGAAACCAGATATCAGATGAACAACGATGTTATAGACAAATCCGAATGTGAGAAAGATTTAGGAGTAATGATAAGTAGGAATCTTAAGCCAAGTAAACAATGTGTATTTGCTCGAAACAAGGCTAATAAAGTACTTGGGTTCATACAAAGGAGTGTTAGTTACAAGACTAGAGAGGTCATCCTGAAACTATATCTTGCGCTTGTGAGACCTCACTTAGATTACGCAGTTCAATTCTGGTCACCGTATTACAGAATGGGGGGTGCTGGTGGTAGAGTGGTACCGCTCTTGCCTTCGCAAGCGAGATGTCACGGGTTCGATTCCCGGGCCGGTGGAAGTTATTAGGACGTACTTCCTAGCCCCCATTAGTCCCTGTTCACCTAGCAGTAAAGTAGGTACCTGATGTAAATCGAAAGTTGCGAATTCGTATTCAGGGACAAGTTGTTGGAGCTTCCAATAACTTGATGACATAAACCATTGACTCTTCAGGCTTCTACGCCCTTGACTCTTCAGGCTTCTACGCCCTTGACTCTTCAGGCTTCTACGCCCTTAATTCATGAGACATAAAGGCAAGCATGAACTTAGCATGCTTCCCTGTTGGGCACTGAAAACGCTTCTGCGCTTCACCTTGCACAAGGCTGCAGGGGAGTGCCCAATAAAAAAAAAAAAAAAATTACAGGATGGATATAGAATCCCTAGAAAGAATTCACAGGGGAATGACAAGACTAATCCCGGGCATTAGGAACCTTGAGTACAGAGACAGGTCAAAGCATCTTAATTTGCACTCCCCCTCGAGAGACGTAGAGTGAGGGGCGATATGATAGAGGTGTATATAAATGGAAGTCAGGGCTGAACAAAGGGGACATAACAAAGGTACTCAAACTATCCAACCAGGAGCAAACTCGTAACAATGGTTTTAAATTAGACAAATTTAGATTTAGGCGCGAAGTAGGTAAACACTGGTTTGGAAATATAGTGGATGAGTGGAACAAGTTACCAAGCATCATCATTAACTTGATTACGCTGAAGAGCTATAGGTTGGGTGGTTATATGAGCAATAGGGGTTGGGTGTAAATGAGACTGCCCAGTATGGCCCGCTGTAGTTTTCTCCATTCTCACGAGTCAGGAGTGAGGGTTGAGGGTGCATCGAAACTATGGCGCGTGAGTGTACAAATGGCGTCACTATTCTACTCGTTAAATATACAAAAAAGAAGTCGATTAGAATACGTGATATATACATCCTGTTTCGTTCATCAATATAGGAAATTAAAAACCCTCCCCAGCTTACGTCACTCCACGATTAAAGTAAGCAGCTACCAAACAGGGAGGTACTACTGCCTGGGAAGATATTGGAAGCATAATGTGTTGTCTAATGGTAGACCCTGCTGCCATATGGTATCACGAAAATTGTGACCAAGTCCCAGGTTGCTCATCTGACTTTCTGCTTCATTTACACACAATTGCAGGGTCTCAATTGTTTCTCTTACCATTGACAACACAACATAGCCTACATATATCGTTTCTCACTTTTGATCTTTTTTTTCATTTTTGTATTTATAGTTCTTTATTATTATTATTATTATTATTATTATTATTATTATTATTATTATTATTACAGTTACTGTATTATTATCATCATCATTATTTTATTATTTTATTTTTGTTTGTTTTATCATAAACTTATTTATTATGAATTATTATGACTATAATTTATTTTTATTATTATTATTATTATTATTAATATAATTATTATCATTATTATTATTATTATTATTATTATTATTACATTTTCGCCCCCCAGGCCCCGATGTGGGTCAGTGACCTGTGTCCGGGTGGGCATAATCCCCATATAAAAAAAAAAAAAAAAACTGAAATTTGGTAGACGGGTGCGGGTGACTTTGGAAAGCCTTGCATTGTCTCACGTCCCTGCATAAGAAACATGGCAGCGTGTGTATGATCAGAAAGTTTCTTAATCCTGCGGTGTGAGACTCTGGCAGGACTAGAGCAATTGCGTAACAAAACGTGAGCAAACTTACCTGGCCATTTAATATGTAATAGAGGTACGGTTAACAAGGACGTGGGCGACAACATGAGTGGACAACAACGAAGAACCACGACCTCCATCACACGTCTGTAATAAACCAAACGAAACAAAATATAATGCCTCTATATCCCTATAATATACATCTAATGGTGATAATTATTAACCATTTTAAAAGTTTGAAGAAAAAAATATATATCGTCACTCTCAATCCACACATCTCAAATCAAAATGCAAACATGTGAGGTGCTGGGAGAGGAGGAGGAGGGGTGGGGTGTTGTTCCCAAGAGCTGTGTGACGCACCCCCACTTGAATTTGAGATTTGTACAGTTGTGATCTTGTACAGTACTTCACACCACTAACCTATATGATAACAGGCCAACACCCCTAAGACCATAGGTATGTACACGTAACGCCCAGACGATGCTGTTGCTGAGTACTCGAAGGGAAATGTACTTTGGTAAATATTCCAAGTATAATGTAGTTTAGGTATGATGTAGTGTAAGTTAGGTTAGGTTAGGTTAGGTTAGGTTAGGCTAGGCTAGGTTAGGTTAGGCCAGGCTAGGTTAGGTTAGGCCAGGCTAGGTTAGTTTAGCGTAGGTTAGGTTAGTTTAGTTTAGTTTAGGTTAGGCTAGGTTAGTTTAGCGTAGGTTAGGTTAGTTTAGCTTAGGTTAGGCTAGGTTAGTTTAGCTTAGGTTAGGCTAGGTTAGTTTAGCTTAGGTTAGGCTAGGTTAGTTTAGCGTAGGTTAGGTTAGTTTAGTTTAGGTTAGGCTAGGTTAGTTTAGCGTAGGTTAGGTTAGTTTAGCTTAGGTTAGGCTAGGTTAGTTTAGCGTAGGTTAGGTTAGTTTAGCTTAGGTTAGGCTAGGTTAGTTTAGCGTAGGTTAGGTTAGTTTAGCTTAGGTTAGGCTAGGTTAGTTTAGCATAGGTTAGGTTAGTTTAGTTTAGGTTAGGTTAGGATGACCCTTAAACACTGACAGCTGGACCACCACGACGAATACTCAAGACCTCCCTCCACCTGTTTCCTTCCCTTGGTATGAGACATGGTAATAATGGTCTTAGTTTATGTCTCCTCTCTTCCCCCTGTCTCCAATTGGCTTATATTTTATTTACACTTAACCTAACCTAACCTAACCAAACCTTACGTAACCTAACCAAACCTTACCTAACCAAACCTTACCTAACCAAACCTTACCTAACCAAACCTTACCTAACCAAACCATATCAAAACCTTACCTAACCTTACCTAACCTTACCAAACCAAACCAAACCAAACCAAACCAAACCAAACCAAACCAAACCAAACCAAACCAAACCAAACCAAACCTAACCTAACCTAACCTAACCTAACCTAACCTAACCTAACCTAACCAACATGAGTCGTGATTAGTTACATTTACCTTTCGTTATTTGTAATTGTATATAAACTATTCATAAAAGACCTATTTTATTTCATTCATATCCGCCATAAACGCCGCAGATTATTGTATTTTTAGATGACACATTACTATTAGCTGTCACAAAGACTTGATGGACATAGAGAGAGAGAGATAGACAGAGAAGACAGACAGACAACGACAGACAGACAGACAGACAGATAGATAGATAGATAGATAGATAGAGAAGACAGACAGACAGACAGATAGATAGATAGATAGAGACAGATATATAGATAGACATACAGACATACAGTCAAATCACTCTAAGTAAACAATGTACATAACCAGTGCAGCTATACAAACAATGTAAACCTAGACAATATAGGTTTACAAACAATGGTAAACAGTGGTGACTCGAGTCGACCAAGGACATGATAATACAGAGACAATGCCAGCTTGAGAGTGTGTGTGTGTGTGTGTGTGCGTGCGTGTGTGTGTGTGCGTGCGTGTGAGTGTGTGCGTGCGTGTGAGTGCGTGTGATATATCAGAGACAGAGAGAAAGGGAGAGGGATTAGTAGACTGATTGCCCCAAAGTCTACAGAACACAATACTATATATACTGTATAGACTTTCCTCTTGGTTAAATTTGTACTTAGAAACGTCCATCACAACCTAACCTATATCTAACCTAACCTAACCTACTCCCCAATTAGCGATCACGTGTTTAAGTGTCACTGTATCACTATATTCACGTGTCACTGTATCACTAATATCCACGTGGTTTACAGTGGTGCGCCATCTGGAGCACTATAGTGGTATCGGTTGCCATTGTGTTCATCGGTATGTCTTTCTTGGTGCGAAGTTCAGCTACTGTGGGCCTGGTGCTGCTGTTCTCTGGCGGTGAGTGTGTGTGTATGTGTGTCTCTCTCTCTTTGTCTATATTTCAACACTTTAAGGCCACTTTTATTTATATTTCGACACTTTACGGCCACTTTGTCTATATTTCAACACTTCAGGCCACTTTTGTTTATATTTCAACACTTTATGGCCACTTTGTCAATATTTCAACACGTTATGGCCACTTTGCCTATATTTCAACACTTTATGGCCACTTTGTCAATATTTCAACTTTATGGCCACTTTGCCTATATTTCAACACTTTATGGCCACTTTGTCAATATTTCAACTTTATGGCCACTTTGTCTATATTTCTACACTTTATGGCCACTTTGTCATATACAGTATATCAACACCTAGAGGTCATGGTGTTTCATTGGCATGGCAACTGTTCCAAAACCAAAACACATCACTTGCATCTAAAACATTGACTTAATCTTTCAATATTTCATGAATCCTTGTTCACATCATGGCTTGTTTCCTCTTATAGTTTTGTAAGTTACCTGACTTACAAACTCTCTCGTACATAACAATACAAAAACAGTTCCTATTCACTTGTCTGGATCCATATATAGAAGATCCTGTATTGTATATTGAGATTTGATCATATCACCATTTATTAACTAACTCGCCATTAGGGCAGCTGATCTGTACATTGTTATGACCTCCATTGTGTAGTGTTAGTACAGTAGTTGGATACTGTAATACCCAGAGAAAACCTCCCATGTTTGAGTCGGGGATTGAACCCAGGACACAGTGGGAAGACATACTGTATGTGCATTACTGTACTGCTATGACATCAATACTGTATTGTACTTGTTACCTCATCAAATAAAACTGTATCTCTATCTACTCTATAACACTACTTGTTTTGTTTTACAAACTTGTGCTTCATAGTGCACAGTAGAGTACTGGGATCTTGTGAAGACTAGAAACCCCAGCTTTTTTCACTTGATTAAACACCCTGTATTAATCTTAAATTTCTTACAGGTGGCTTAATGGTGCTGGCTGTATGTGCCTTGGTGGGCAAGTGTAAAATAAACACTAACAAAGACCCTCTGCCAGACTATGACCGCCCTCCCTCCTATAGGGTCTCTTGGAGAAGGTCTTTCCTGCGCCGCATTCGAGAAAGAAAGTAGGTCTCTCTCTCTCTCTCTCTCTCTCTCTCTCTAAGATGTGTTCTTTTTCATGTTAAAAACTATATATATATATATATATATATATATATATATATATATATATATATATATATATATATATATATATATATATATATATATATATATATATATATATATATATATATATATATATATAATATCAATAACTGCAACCTTACTAACAGGGATTATCTTTTTTTAAATTGGTTGAAGACATTTCTTAAATATTAACACCGTAGTTGCAATATACAGTACCAATGTACACTGTAGACTGAGTGTACAGTACAGTACAGTATATAGTATTCTTATTTTCTCCTGTTGTCTAAACCCTGTACTGTACTGTACTTTAAATGAGGAAAATGTATGTCTTAACTGTTTGGTCAAATTATATTACTTAAATACACAACAAATATTTTTCAATATTATTTACTATACAGATTACTTTTATTAACGTTATTATTTCAGCTCACCAGAATCTGACCTAACAGAGGTATCACACACAACAAGTCAGATTGATCCACGCAACACCACCCAAGATCATGCCTCCAGCACCCCACACCCAGTCCCAGTCCACATTCAAACAGTGGTCACCTCTGTCCCTCCTATTCAGGCCTCTGTGAACACCTTAACAGAGTTTGGGAACAGCCTATACTATGACCCCAGCAGCAGACATGCCCAGTCACTGTCCAATATTGCAGACCCACCACCATACGAAGTTGCCCTGGCCGGCATGGACGAAGGCACGCTTAGGAAACTTAAGTCAGAAAATTGTTTACCCTTAGCACCACTTGACTGATGCCCAAAAAATTAAAGTGCATGATTAAAGTGACTCTTTGAATTGTAGTCTAACTTTATAAGTTATGTCTTGATTTTATATTTCAGATGATTTAAAGAGGATAATGAATATCCACAGAAACTCGTACACACACAAGTCCTCAGTGATTTCCTGGATTTTGTATATTTATGTGAGTTTTAATATCCAGCAGCTGTGGCAAGAGCTGTGCTTATTAATGCCAGCAGTACTGTGTGTGCTTAATACCAGTAGTACCGTATGTGCTTATTAATACCAATAGTACTGTATGTGCTTACTAATACCAGTCAGAATAAAATAAAGTGATTAATTACAGTATAAGCAGTTGTTAAAAACATACAGATTCCAAATAACACCTGAAATTTAAATTTAAACAAAGACAAATCCTAAACTGAAAAAAGGATTTCCTTTTACATAAGTTTTCATCAAGATGTTTATAATTATCTGCAAGTTTATTTACATGTATACCTGTATATGTTTTATGTGAATTAAAGACACAGTAGGTGGGAGATAGTTATAGCTTAACTACCAGAAATAACTGCAGACTGGTGGTGTGACTTATGACGTGTAAACTACTTAGCCATCTATATTAAACACCCTGTTCTTGAGTGCTGCACATTACGCTTCTATCATTATCCATTATGAATTCCAGGCATAATTTATCAAACTATAACTTATTCTTATCTCCCAGCACTTTTACGTGTAAGAATGATCGGAATGACTTGACAAATATAAAACCAAAAAATAGTTATGAAATACCTAGTCAAAATTGTGCTGTGAATTAGTATATCAGTTGATAATCTGCCATCTGTGGTTAAGGATAAAGCATTAATGAAAGCCTTAGGAAATTCAGACATAGGACACTTAATTAGCCACATGTATAGTGACCAGTTCAGTAAGTCATGTGTGGCTGAATAAAATCGTCTGGCATTAGCAAGAATAGAATACCTAAGGGCGCCGCTGCCCTCTAACAGGTTAAGGAGAGCGATTCATGTGTTATGGTAGTATGAGAAGCCAGTGATTCATGTGTTACTCTAAAATTCTGCATGTAACAATTTGTTTTGGCATGTTTAACCATAAGTACTTCTTTGGAGCCTACAGTAAATGGATACTGTACTTCATTCTAGTTCATTCAAATAGTATACAATAATACAGTACAATACTGTACAGAGGTATTGTACCAGTTGGCCTCAACATTATTTGATCAACATAAATGAGAATGATTGTGTGTATGTTTGTGGCAGTACAGTACCATCATGTTGTTTTTGGACTAGTGGACGTGTGAATCAGCCTGTGTGTGTGTGAGATACTGGTGATATTTTATACTTCTTCTCTTTGCCACAAGTCAGCTCACTGTAGTAGCTGGTCAGATGATGACACTGCAGCTGTTGAATCGATGATTTATGGGAAACCATAAGTGATACGGTATGTCTTAAGCTTTTTTATTTAATTATATATTACAAGAAAAATACTTAAAAACTACCCTGTATTATGAATATAAATGTGCTCAATTTTTATACAGGTATTTCAAGTATAACTTTTTTATAAATAAATTTCAAATATATTTTGTATTTATTAAAAAAAAAAATTCTTCAAAATCTCTATACGTGTAGCTCCTGAATGCTTGTACATATTGTACACACAACACTTAACAAATGTACAACTTGCCTTATTCAATTTAACCAGATAGACAAGTTCCCATACTCATGACGGCAGCCATCCCTACAGCTAGCTTCCTCTCATTATGGCTGTGTCCCTACAGGTAATTTATACTGATGATGGCAGTCATTTAAGGTGTAAAAAAGAGGGAAAGCTACATATAAAAGACTACAAAAAATATACAGTACAATCAGACTCAGAGTTGAAGCATTATAGACTGCAAATCTGCAGATGACACAAAGCTATTTGGGAAGGTAGCAAGTCAAGATGTTACAACCATACTAAAAGATCTGCACAAGCTATTCAAATGGAACAGTCCACCAGCTCAAGATGTGGAATCAAGAGCAGTACAGTACTGGGCCTCAAAATAGCCCTTGACATGACAATCAAAAACAATGGAAGGATCCTACATAGCCCACTGGCCTCCTTCCCTTGGCATGACCACCTCTAGATGGGTGGCCATTCGGAAAATATGGAATATACAGACTTAGTGATACCTGTGAACAACATTTATATGGTAATAAAGTATTTCTCTACCAACCTAAGCTATTTATTAATTTACCACTCATCAGCTTACTAGCCATTTGAGCAGCTGATCTGTTCTTCGTTATACAGCCCAGGGCTTGTGTGCTTTGAGATATTGTGATAGTAATGAGAGAAACATGAATCTTTATGTCCAATAAATACAACAGACACCAAATGAAACTAAATTAATGACTTATGACCAAGACTTATTGCCGAAGCTGTCCTTTCAACGATCTGCCTTGGAACTGTGACAAAAATATGGTAAACTATAATATCAAGTAACTCTGGCCTTACCCAAGATGGGATATAGGTGTCAATTTATAAATTCTAATGTTGTAATAATATCCTTGTTAATTTTTGTTTTTATATATACAGTACAGTGATCCCTCGGTTAACGATTTACCTTCCATAAAATTCTTCACTTCGGTTAACCAGTAATCCCTCCATTAACGAATTCCTTACGAGCGCCCCTCAACATGTTTTCGCTTGCTCACTAGCTGTCGTATTAGTACGCCAATACGGTAATCGGTTCTAGGGCTTAAATTCCTTACCATTTTAGTAAATATCAAGATGGTTGTACTATTCAATCATTTTAAAAGTTTTATATTAAATTTTTTAGCCATTTTAACAATTATTGAACATAATTGAAGTACAGTGGGGTATGCTATAACGAACGGATCCTACTACGAATATTCCTATAACGAACGGTTTTACCTATAAAATTGAGAATGCTATAACGAACGCAACTCCTACAACGAACGCGGATGAATACGGGACTACTTCGCCTGGCGCATGAATATTGTTGTACCACGACCACAACAAGAGCGTCAGGCGCCATCTTTGTCTCATTGTGTAGCCAGTGCACCACTGTTATTGTTGAAATTTCGTCTTTTGATGTGGAAATTCGCGTTATTTGTATAACTATTTTGTTATACAAGTATACAATTGTAACAATGAATCGTCCAAAGCGAGTGAGAAAGCTAATAACCCTTGAAACTAAGAAAGAAATTGTAAAGAAACGTGAGAATGGAAGAAGCATTGCGAAACTTAGTGATGTATGGGATGGCTAAATCGACTATATGTACGATTTTGAAGAATAAAGAGGAGTTAAAAACTGTGCAAGTGGCTAAGGGAATCTTTAGACTTAGCAAAGCAAGGTGTAATGTGATTGAAGAGATGGAAAATTTACTCTTAGTGTGGATAAAGGAGAAAGAAATGGCAGGTGGTAACATTAGTGAAGTGAGAAGACCAGACAATTGTTTGAGGACCTTAAAGCCAAGACTCCCAGTGGAAGTGATAGTGATGTGCCAGTGTTTAGGGGTACCTGCATGCTGAATAACACTAAGGTAAGATAAAGTACCGTATTTTTTACATTTTCCACAGAATTTTTTCAGTGTTAAGTGGTTGTATTTGGGGGCCTGGAAAGGATTAATCCTATAACGAACGAATGCTATAACGAACGAGGTTCTGGAACCAATTACGTTCGTTATAGCATACCCCACTGTACAGGAAACTAGTTTTATGTCCGCCAAACAGCCACTCAACACACCAACTTGGAGTCAGTTTGTTTACAGGTTCAGAGGAAGGAACATCTTGTTTGAGACTCTTCAACATAAATGCCTTTTTTCTGTTTCTAGACAAATTATTGGTCAATTTGAAATATACAGTGCAGTGCAGTGTTGATTTAAAGAAAATAATCTTGAATTACACCAAGTGAACTAAAATTTTATGGGTGAAATGGCGGCATGGGGTGACTTCTCTTCCACCCCAATGCCTTCTCTTCTCTCTTCTCCTCCACCCCCATTCTAATTCCCATCATCATCATCATCAACCAGGAGCCTTCTACATGCACACCTCAATGTAAGTGTACTTTACCGCATTTATTTTTCGTTTGTGTGTAATTTTGGGTGAGCTGGAACCAATTACCCAAAAACCCATTGAAACAATGGTTTCGGTTAACGAGCAACCTTCTGGAACGAATTGTGCTCGTTAACCGAGGGACCACTGTATTGCATAACAGGTGAGGACAGTTACATAAATATACAAGAGAAATTACAACAACCATTATATATTACCTTAATGTTCTACTGTACACTACTGCAAAATACTGTACTTTAATTAACATACACTCACCCCATCATACCCAGGCTATATAAAATGTCACAAGCTAATATATATAAGATAAAATACCGGTACAGTACTATCACCTTAAAATATGCCGTACATCACATCATGTTATAAAATACACGAGATGAACCACAAGCTATCCACTGCTTCTGAGTTTCTTTACAAAAACTGACTCTATGATGTACACATATCTGAAGCCTAAGTCTGGGTACAGCATACACATACATTACTGTATACAGTGGGGTATGCTATAACGAACGGATCCTACTACGAATATTCCTATAACGAACGGTTTTACCTATAAAATTGAGAATGCTATAACGAACGAAACTCCTACAATGAACACTATTTAATTTTTTTTTTTTTTTTTATTTATTGTTTTTTTATTACAAATGTTAATGATATTCTTTATTTCAGGGGTTTAGATGCATATTTATGCACTTTTTTACAATTTTATATTATATTTTTCAGTGTTAAGTGGTTGTATTTGGGGGCCTGGAACGGATTAATCCTATAACCAACGAATGCTATAACGAACAAGGTTCTAGAACCAATTAGATTCGTTATAGCATACCCCACTGTATACACCCACTGGCAATCTGATTACTACAGTACTACATTCATACTACTGATGAACAATAATATAAATTTCAATTACTATATACATACTATTGTGGTATTTAGGTCATTATACACACACACACACACACACACACACACACTGGAAACAATTATTAATGTAGACAGATACTGTTTATATACCACAACCAAAACTACTGTAGTACTTTTAAAACTTTATGACTTACCAGTAAATGTTAGCTGGAGCAACTAACTCTCAACTTCTGTGACCAGCATGGAGGAGCATTAGCATAGCCTTTCTTTTCAGCTTCATCTTGACTATGAAAAGGATTTCTTAGTATCCTTAAAACTAGATCTAAATCATGAAAGCTACTCTGCTCAACTTTCTCAATCACTTGTTGGGCAATCCAGTTTCTTAACACATATCTGGGATTGACGGTAGCCATGATCCCTCGCCGGCTATCGTCACTCAACTCTTCTTCTTGTAGTCTTGACTTGTACTTCTCCACAAACTGGGGAAACTTGTCATCGTTTACAATTTTGTCCAAAGCCCAAAACTTTCTTGACAGTTTCTTTGCTTCCAACTCCTGTAGCGTTATGTTTCCCAACTCCCAAAAGGTCATTGTAAAGTCTGCTTCATTAATCTTCATCATATTTAGCAAATTTTTAATAAGTTGTTCATCCTCCTGTTTGAAATTTTTAAATCCCAGTTTCTTTGAGAATAAAGTTAGATAAACTTGTCTGAATTTTGTGTCATATCCATCAAGAATAGTTTTCATCTGAGGTGTTTGGTCTGGAGTAAGAAGTTGGTCCAGCGCATTACCTAACCTCTGTAGGTTATTGAACCCAACACCCGGCTGGTTCTTATAGCTGTACATACCATCTTCATCAGAAGAATTGGGTACAAAATCTGGGTCATAAGTGTCCAAAAACCCATAAGGTCCGTAGTCTATAGTGACCGACACGATGCTCATGTTGTCAGTGTTCATTACACCGTGCGTGAAGCCAACACTCTGCCACTGGGCAATCATTTCTGCTGTTTCTTCCACCACAGTTGAAAACATACTCAAATATCTATCTGGATCAGTCACTGATATCGTTGGGAAGTGTTTGTTGATGATGTGATCAACCAAGAATTTCAGTGACTCCACCTCTTGCCTCTTGGCCAGTATTTCCAGGGAACCAAACCTAAAACATAAAAACAAATATTGATTACCCATAAAACAAATCATATTCACTCAAGTAACAAATTTCAACAAGTTTGTACTCTTACAGTAATGGAAAGCTCTTCAAGCACTAAAGATCAGTACTGTACAGTGCTTAAATTAATCATGGTACAGTACACCCATACAAAGGTCCCATATTTCTGCAAACTAAGATACCAACATATTAAATTTATTTTTTCCTGGTACCTGTATCCCAAAATTTTTTGATGACTCCTTTTATCTTTCCTTAATAAAATTCAAGATTAATTGCCCTTCACATAATATACATACAGTACATTAATTTTTTTTAGATGTGAAATACAGCAATCAACCACTATCTATCTATCACTTCTCCACAGTACTTGGTGTCAAATTATTTCCTCAAGTTACCTGAACCAGGTTGGAGCCAGCCTGAGTACCACTGCAGTCTTCTCCATCTTAAGGTTGCCATTGTAGAACTGGTCCCTCTTAGCCAACTCGTCCCCCACCACCAGCGATGCACTTCTTGATGTACGGAATCCTGAAAATAACGCCAAGTGTTATAAAATACGTACAAATAAAGAAAAACTGTCATCACTGGGTGGAAAAAAATGCTGTACAGTATTTAAATTTTGAGGAGAATGTAGATATTACTTTCCTTCATAAATTCATACTGTATACCGAAGAGAACAACATCTATGAACATTCACTACAAGTTTAGTTTAATTCTGGTATTTTGTATCAACCCCAAAGTACCTAAACTGTGATTCATTTCAACAAGTGAACATAGATCCTTCTAACACAAACAACACATTTTAGCATTTAGAGTTTCATCAACCTCTTATAACGAGCTTTGCAAAAACATTTACATATGCTAAACTATACTAAGGTAGTAAATTCATCCCATTGAGTACTAATAAGCTAATTCACTTCAGCTACTCATTAATGTATACATACAGCCAGGGTTAAAAATTTGCTCCATCCCAAACTGAAGCAATCTCGACCCCAATTGACTATACAGTACTGTAATTCCTGTGACTCAGTTTCACCAAGGGGAGCGAACTTTTTGGTGCGAGTGTACAAACATTTGCACAGACTAGCCTTACATACAAACTGTTACATGCAAAGAAAACTTCATCCACAGGTAAAATCAAGGTCTTTAAAATCAACCTCTCTAAGAAACACAGAAACAATCTCAAGTTCCTCCAACACATTTTAACTAAGGTGATATGAAAAACCTACTCAGTAACCAAATTCTTAAAGCTAACTGTTACCTAGTGCATCCATAGCTTCAGCGGCTAAAAATTCCCGGACGGATGAACGTATGACAGCTCGACCGTCCCCATAACGGGAATATGGCGTCTTCCCCGAACCTTTTAACTGCAGCTCCCACCATTTTCCTCTCCTGTAACAAGTACCAACATTTATTATACGGTACAGTATATATACGTATCATGGTCACACTTAGGGTTCAACGAAAAAAATAACAAAGCTGACTACATGATTATCTATTCTTTTATAGCAACAAATGATAAAATTTTATACAAAAATATCTGATGCTCTTAAAAACAACTGAAAACATCAGCCATGACTCTACAAGATAAGAAAACCTAACATAACTTAACTTACCTTTACCTAACCTAACCTAAATATCTTGTAGACCGCACACTATAGTAACACCACCTCACCTAACATGACCAATCCTAAACCTCCCAGGAAGCATTTATTAACTATACAAGTAAGTAATACCGTACAGACATTTTTAATATACAGTACTATACAACCAACCTGTTAGTATAATGACCCAGAAGATGAGCTCTGCCGTCCCCAAGCTGCTGCGCCCACCACCCAAACTGGTAGCCTCCATAGCGATGTGCCACGGGAGTTGATGATGGATGACGCCAGGCACCGGAAGCAAAGTCCCGGAATATAGACGACGTAGCGACGGAGGGGAGTAAGTCGATGAGGTCCAGAGCTGCCGATGATATTCCAGCTAACACCGTCTGCCCCTTAAGTGGTGTCGGCTCTACCACTGAAAATACTGCATTCGGTACGTTCCTTCTGTCGTAGTTTTCAGATATTGAGTCGAGAGGGAAAGTTAGAAATTCACTTGAACTAAATTTCCAATCTTCTTGAGTAATATCTTTGTACATATCAAGATGTTCCTGAGATTCTTCTTGCTGGCTGGTAGCTTTTAAGTGTATTTCCTCCATTTTATTATTAAATGTGAAAGGCTTATAATGTTTGTAACAGGAAGTTCTCTCTGTATAGGTTAAAGATGTACAGACACCTCTCTCAATAGTGACCCAGTCATTGTTCTCAAAACCATTAGATAGAAATATGGATGAAAGACATGGCCTTAACTTCGTTGCATTTACACTATGTGGAACAAAGACAAGCACAGATAAATTAGTTACCAGTATTCTAAGTGTGAACATTTTGTGGTCCTGATAACACTTATAATAACTATCGCCATCACTTGATCTGAGGCAAACGGTGACACGTGCTAATTCATTCACCTCTAAATGACGTCCATGTCAGTCATTATCTCACACTTACATTTACTTCATTGGTTCCTTATGTATCACAGATATAGCTTAATCACAATTTTGTTCTTCAGAATATTTCACCACCTGAGAAATTATGAGAAACATTTCCTACAGTGAAGACAACCTGTTCAGTTACAGTCTGGCACAAGAACCTTAACTCCCTACCTTAACTAACTTTCCAAACTTCAACATCTTAACTTCATGATAACACTAACCAAATTTTAAATCATATTTTTAATTAATTATAATTAATTTTATATAAGATTGGATCATACATTGACTGATATAGAGTTTAGTTAGCAGATAACGCTAACCTTAACTAATTCAGATTACTTTAAAACCTTGCTTTTAATGGTAAAAATAATAAAGGCTTACCTTATATATATATTTTTTTATGTTTGTTTATTTCATTTAAGATTAAATCATTCAAGATCTATAACAGTACAAATGGCTCTCTTAGCAACTTGTGCTTCATAAAGATGTTAAATAACGATCACTTGGTTTTAAGTTTATAACATTTGTTTAACAATACTAACATTATCCTAAACTTGTTCAATAATAAGTATCGACATTAAACTATAATTATCCCTTAAATAATGCTCTTTTATTGTGTATTATGGCTTAATATTTACTAGTTGGCAGCTTATCCTCCCATCACTCCATGTTGCGACTCTTGTGACTCCACCATAAAGAAGTTACTGTCAGGTAAACCAAACAAACTATTTCAACACCTTTATATCTCCAGCCACCACTACATCACCCCCATGGCCCAGGCAGTTAACTATTGATAGACTGATGTTGTAATAAGGGAACGTAGGTTAGTAAATTCCGTATCCATCATGTGCCTCCCAAGCTTATGGTAAACGTCATTGAAACTGATAGTGATTAACAATAGACTTCCCGGATATTCTACCACCCAGGTTATTGAGTGATATAGCCGCCCTTCAGATGTAGTGATAGGTAAGGATGTCAGCTGCTTTGTGAATTTGGTTAACAAGTGGATAATTAAGGGTCACCCCCCCTCCCCTACTGCTGGTGAAATGAAGGTTAAAATATCTTCCTGCTGGTGAAAGGAAGGTTAAAATGACATCCTGTTGGGTTAATAAGAGACGGCTTTTGGGCTGTAAATTGATCGGTAGATATGATGAGGGATGTAGTTTCTCCCATCTCAAGTGGTCATGGCCAGATACACAGACCAATAACCCCTTTTCACTTTGATATGCATTGTTTTGTCCTTAACTTTTTATTGTTTGTCTTAATATTGACTAATAAGTATTGCATGTATGATAGACATAAGTGTTATAGCATTGTATCAAAGAAGAATTTTGTTCATGTCGAATGAATGTAATTTTGTGCCTCTTTTTAGGGACTCTCGAACAAGCAGAATGGGACCCAAACGTAATAAGAAACTAAAAGTAAATGACGAGAAGACAAATGCTGAAGATCAGTCTCACTCTGCCGATGAGGAAAACAGCACAAACACTAGCGGTCCAAAAACTGTTCCAGGGAATCCCATTAACTGTGGGACACTTCCTGAACAGTTTCTGGACATTGAGAAAGATCAGTGTGAAGAACTCCTGAAATTAGACTATGGACCAGGGATATGTTACATATATAATCCTGTCGACTACGCTCATGAAATTCACTCAGATTTTGTCACAAAGTTCTGCAAAGGACAAAAGAAAGTGCTTATATTGGGGATGAACCCAGGACCATGGGGGATGGGGCAGACTGGGGTTAGTTGTCACTGTTTTTAATGGCGATGAGTTGTGTTTATATACAAAATTATTATTTACATATTTTTGGGTTGTGTAAAGATTTGACATCCCAGTTAATTTTACCTGAAGATTAAACATCATAATGCGTACCTTAATGAAAGCTAAATTAACCTAACTTACACGACTTAACCAAACAGAGCTAACTTAACAAGACCTAACCTAACTTAACCTAGACTAAACCCTTAGATAGCATAAGGGTGGTTAATCTCCAGGTGTAATAAGTTAGGGTGCGTAAAAATCTGGTGATCTATTTTACTGTATTTTGCACTTCTTTTGTAAATGAGAGTTGGTCAAGATGTTGTAGTACTGTAGATCTTCTGGTCTTATTCTACAAAAACCTTGACCCAGGGAGATGTAGAAGGTTATCAGAAGGAAATATAGTTTTAAGGTTTCTTCTCCATTGTTATTTCTTTCAATTTTTTTTTTTTTTAGTCTTCCTTGTGTCCAGCCAGACTAAGTTACTGCACCACCATACACTTATCTCTTGAGTAGCCTTTGAGAAGTTTATAGTGAACTTGAGTTTTGGCTACATAATTTTTCCTGTTAATTATAGACTGTCTCATAATTTCGTGTAGGTATACAATTATTATTACTTTCCATTATTTCCTGGTAACATATCCACTTCTTACATTATACCGTAAACTAAAATGCCTGTATAACTTTGTCCGTTTAGCAAGTCAATGTCATAATAGTATCAATAAGTAGATTTTTATTATGTTGTATCAGGATGATTCGCCTCATTACACCTTGTATGAAATATTAAAAAAAAAATAGAACTACATTGTCATAAGGATTAGATCAGTTTTGCAATATCATTACTGCATTATATAAGTACAGCATAGTAGTGTTGAAATTTACCCCCAAAAAGAAAGAATGTATATGATGGTATTTTATTGGAATATAACTTTAATCTTTATTGAATACTATAATTAAAAGGTAATTGTTTGCAGGTACCTTTTGGACATGTTGCTTACGCCAAAGATTGGTTGGGCGTCAAGGGTCGTGTTTCAAAGCCTGCAAAGGAACATCCCAAGCGTCTTATTACTGGACTTGAGTGTACAAGGAACGAGGTGTGATATTCTACAGTTTTAAACATTTAATTATAGCAATATCTATCTCCATATGTCTTTTCCATTGATGATTTTCTGAGGGCTATGTTACATAACCTTGGTGAAATTGCCTCACTTTTTACCATTGTTTGTATACCATTAATGTACAGTCTGTGACTATGCACACTGTACAGGGGTATACTGTACCTGTAATGTCTATATACAGGCTGAACTAATTATAAACTTGTATGATGATTTTATGGAATAATTATCTGTCTGTATTTACTGGAAACAACCTCCAAGTTTCCTGAAGAAAATATTTAATGAGAAAGATGATCTTGTGCAGGTGAGCGGTGATCGTATGTGGGCATTACTGAAGGAACTGAGTGGCACCCCTGATGTGTTATTTACCCACATCTTCCTTCACAACTACTGTCCTCTCTTCTTTCTCAAGGAGTCTGCAAAAAATGTTACACCTCCAGAACTGAAAGTAAGTTTGTACTCTTATCTATATTGATGACCATTTACCAGTACCAGTGTGTGACCTGCTTGTTAGACACTTATGTTTATCCATCTCTTTATCCCTGGCAGATGATGAGGATTAGGTTTCCTCCTTTCCTTGTACTCTAGTCTGGTTTCCTCCTTAGGCTCTAGCCTGTAGTTTCTTGGCAATAAAATAAATGCATCATGAGGTTTGCTTACCGATGATGGAAGTACCATTTGGTGGACTAAAAACCAAGGGGACAGGGTAACCCACTAGCTATTGAATACCATCTTAAATTCAAGGATATTTTTATTTGCCAAGTGTCCTGTTCAACATTGAATTTGCTCATATTAACAAACAAAAAAGTGGCAACTGTTTCATTCACAGCCCAACCAGTATGCATTATTCCACAGCAGAGTTTTATGCCTTAATATTGGTTAGCTGACATAGTTTAGTGTTGAGATCATAACTCTTTTCTTGCAGGTAAAAGAACGGTCTAGCTTAGAAGCAATCTGTGATGCAGCATTAGTGAGGACAGTTGAACTTCTTGGGGTTGAGCATGTTCTTGGTGTGGGGAACTACGCCAAAGAACGAGCAAAGGCTGCTTTACGGAAGGCAGGCTTGGAAACTGTCCAAGTATGTATACAGTATTTCAGTACTACAGATATCAATGTTTTCATTTATGGGTGTAAACTTATCAATAACTTTAACATTCTGGGTGTTGCATAAAAAGAAGTGAAATGTTTTATGAAATGAGGAATGACTGACTAACTGGATGAATACACTTCTAAATTACAATCTACAGTATAAGTGTGTTGGTATATCTATGTACTGTATGGTTCAGTTTTCATATATTTGTCTTTTACAGGTTAGTGTATTGATGCACCCCAGCCCGGTCAACCCAGCGGCAAATAAAGGTTGGAGAGAAATTGCCATAAAGCAGTTGACAGAAAATAATATTATACAATACTTTAAGCCATAAGTTTAAGGTTGCTCATGGGAAAGACTCACATACTGTATTACAAAAATTTTACCATCATTCCTTGAGGCATAAAAAACCCAGGAAGTACAGTATACAAGCGTATCTTTATATGAACAAGTGTCTTTGTTTGGTAAATGCTGTATTCAAAATGACTAATCAGCAAAAAGAACAGTGGATGGTTGAAGCTTTTAGCCAAGCAAGAGAGGCATTAACTGCCGGGGAGGTGCCGGTAGGCTGTGTGTTTGTTTACAATAATGAGATTGTTGGCAGAGGTCGAAACACGGTCAACGAAACCCATAATGCCACCAGACATGCTGAAATGAACTGTGTCGATCGAGTACTGGAGTGGTGCACGGTTCATCAGTTAGATTACAAGACTGTTTTTCCTCACGTGAGTGTTTATGTGACTGTGGAGCCGTGTGGCATGTGCGCTGATGCTCTGGGTCAGTTGAGTGTGAAGGACATCATATTTGGTTGCTCAAATGATCGCTTTGGTGGATGTGGGTCTGTTGTTGATATACCAAAATTATATAAGTATCCCATGAATTTCCAGAAGGGTGTTCAAGCTGAGGAAGCAATAGAACTTCTGAAGGAGTTTTACAAAGGAGAGAATCCTAATGCTCCAACAGGGAAAGTCAAGAGAAAAGTACCCAAGAATTAAAGGTACAATGGCAAGATGACTGAAGAAAATATTTTAGTTTTTAGTGCTTTTTATCTGTAGTTAAACTTTGATTCTTCATGTATAGCAAATAATTTTAAGGTACTTTTAACGTTTATTTCAACTTTTTAAAGTCGAGGTAAAGATTGCTCAATACTGTATGTCCATGAAAATATCATCAGACCCGACGACACCTGAATGTGGGTCTGATTGGCCTCGTAATCATCACTGATAGATCTTGTACCCGTATATGTTTCTTTAACTGTGATCTTTTTTATTGTTAGTTTAAATCTTTCATGAACAAGCAAAAGTTTTGCAGAAATTCAACTTGGGAGGAAAGGAAGTTTCTTGATGGCCAAAAGATGTAAAGATTATCCCTATGCATACTAGAAAAGCTTGTTAAATGTGATTTTAAAATTATTGGTATATAGGTATTTGTAAGAAAAAGAAGCATTAGAATATCACTTCACAAAGTACACTCGCCCCTCCCCCCCAAAAAGTTTTCGAACATTGGGCACTGCAGGTTACAGAATGAGCACTTGGGTTCGTGTCATGTCGGAATGGTTGGTATGTGTGGTGGCGAAGTGACTCAATATTTCGTAATAATATATGTTGCTCATCCTTATTGTATTTACAGGTTAAAAGAAGTAATTTAATTTGCAATAAAACTTCTTCAGAGAGCAATGATCAGATTTCTTGTTCATTTTGTCATATTGTATGACCCTTAGAGCGTTTGAGATCTTTTGTGGCGAGTGTACATTCAGGTACATACAGTATATTAAAATAATTTGCTTATTATTTAGGACAAGCAATACATAATTAGCTTGCTACTTAAAATAATGGCAAAATATAATTGAGGCTTCTGCAGTAGTAAGGCACAAGTGACATCTCTTTAAATGTCACTTGTGCCCTTACTACTGCAGTGGCCTATCTTATATTCACACCTCCACTCCTAAGGTGTGTGTTGGTGACCAACAGTGGGAGTTCACTGCAAGATATCTGTATCAATAGGTTTGTCCTCTGATTTTTGCCTCTCTGCACTGTACATTGTTTGCTTTTATGCTCCTACTCGAGACATTACCATCTTGGGTTGTTGGCCATCTATTCATTAGCACAAGAGTTTGACAATGTCATCTTCAAAGTTAATGCTCTCACTACAACTGTTGAGTTAGTTTAAACAGATTAATGTAAGTTAATTAATATAACCATGTTTATAATCTTGGAGAATTTCCTTGATGATTCCACACATGACCGTAATCTCTATAATTAAACCCATAATTTGCACAGGAGTGTTTTCACAAAATAAATCAACCAGTAAAATTTCTTATCTTCAACGTAGTACAGTAGTTATGAAAATTTTAGAAAATAATGAAACTATTCACAATTACTGTACTTCACATATGTTGTCATCTTATCATCCACAAATACTACAGTTGATAATGTAATAATAAGAATAAATAAAATAGATCTTTTTTACTGTATACATAGTTTTATTCAGATTCTATATTTCCAGTAATTAACAAGTTTCAATTTATCTTTGGCGAGAGAACCTTAACACGGACAAGTTCTCCGGTCCAGTCCTACGAGTTATAACACACGAACACGAATATCCGAATTTGGCCATCACGAGTTCAATATCTGCAGGATCATTCTCCTTCAATACCAATAGGTAAAATAGCCCTTGAGGGGATAAAAGGGAATCAACACTTGGAAACAATCTGTCCATGACCTCACGCCCATGCTCACCGCCCGCCCACGTGTGTTCCAAGTTTCCCCGCCCAACTTCGTCTGACGGAGTGACAACATAAGGAGGATTGAATAACAAAATATCAACACTCCCTACATCTTTATCTATCACACCCGAGACCAGATCTGTACACACAGCCTCGATGTCCACACCATTTAATCTTCCAACTTCTCTGGTCGTGTGACAGGCGCGGGGATTGATATCCGTGCTCATGTAGACACACGAGGGACCCAACACTGTGCCCAGGGCGGTAATTACAACACCTGAGCCTGATCCAACTTCCAAACAGAGTGATGGTTTTCTCTCACGTATAAGATGCAGATCCTTCTCTAAAGCATCAATGAGCAAGAAAGAGTCTTCAGCTGGCTCATATATGTGTTCCAGATCCTCACTTGTGATGTTTGAGAAGACTGGTGTTTTTATTTTGTTACCGGACTCCTCCATCTTTTGAGTACAGACTTTATGAAGAGATAAGAGTAAAACTAAGGATGATAGAAAATATATTACTAAACCTTAACTATTTAGCCTAATTAATATCAGCAGATAACAAACTTATTAACATTTCCGTTAAATGGATACAAGTTATAAACACAAATATCACAAGATAGATAAATGACTAGATGTATGATACACAATAAGCCTTTAGACAAGACTTATTAATGTGAACTTCATATAAAGAGTGTCTAACAGGTAGTTGGCAAAATTATAATGGAATGTCAATCACAAAAATATTGGCACAAAATATTTGCCTCTTGTACTAACTTCAGGCTATATTTTGAAGCAATACACTACTATGGAAAACCAGCATCTAAAGCAAAAACTGCTTAAAATGTTCAATATTTGACAAATTATTTACTGGACGTGAAACACAATCAAATCTCAGTCCCAATGCAAGTACAATACTGTACATCTGCATCATTACCTCATTCAATAAAAACTAAAGGTACTCTGGATATCACTTCAAATTTACTGATTTATAATAATTGAAAGTGCAAAGCATTTTTGTGAAGCAATTTTCAAATCCTCTAAGTATCAATTATGGAGCATGAAGAGAGGTGGAAGGTGTTGTTGACGAGGGTGAGGTAGTTTCTAGCAGAGCGCGACGGCGTGCGTTTTCCTTGTTTACTTGAGTGTGTAACTTGTTGAGACGGTCCTGCAGAGAAAAATCAAATAAATAGAATTGTACTAATGGTCAGGGTTTATAGAGGGACTGCATATGGCGAGCATAAGTGAAAATGTATTAATATAAATCTTGTTTAGGTCTACCATATACAGCTCCTCCCCGACTTACGACCTGCCTCAGGCGTACCAAAATTTTGTCAAATTACATATTTTCGAGTCCCAACGTCAGTACACAGACAAAATTTTCGTTTGTAATTCACTTTAAAATGGCTGGCAAGCTTAAAAGTGAGAGTTTTGTGGTGCTAAGAAGAAAAAGAAACACCCATTTTAGATTTTCTATGCATTATTCAAGCATTTTCGATTTACGACCATTTCGACTTACGACCTGGATTTGGGTCCCTAACCCCGTCGTAAGTCGGGGAGGAGCTGTATAATCATCCACAGTTTAAATTTGGACACTAATATGAGTCAAACAAGACAAGATTAGGGTTAACTCCAGCATACACTCGATCACATACAGTACCTGTGTGTTTTGAAGGATGTTATTAACTACAACAACTCTTCTTTTAGCATTCTGGAGCTTCTTAATGTAGGCATCCAGCTGTAACGGACACCTGGTCTGCTCCTGCACTCGAGCCAACTCTGCTGCCAGTCCTTCTAGCTGCTGGTGAAGCTCACTCTGACTCACCCTGCAAAACATAATCTTAACTAATACCACATGAATACAAAGAAACGATAATTGTATTGTAACATTTTTGCCCCAAACCAAACCAAACCTAGCCAAAAATAAGCAATCTTGTATTTAAATTCAAGAAAAAAGTTAATATTAAAAGAACCACTCACAGATTATGGCAAAAGGTTATTGTCAGACTAAACTTAGCGTTTCTCGTACACATTTTGTCAGTTTCATGAGGTAAGAAAGCTTTATTTGATAAGAGAAATTTCCTAAAATTGGTGTTACGGGTTATCAAGTAATACCTGTTATTCTAAACTTGCTACACCAGAAAAAAAGGCATCTATATCATTTTACCTCAATAAGTGGCAGTGAACCACCACAACTTGTCGCAAGATTCCATGCAAGACAACAATGAAAGTAATATTATAGTTGCAGTCATCCCTGTATTTAGATATCTAATCTAACTAATTAACAAACCAACCTAACCTAGCCACAGAACCCATGAGCTATATCTAACCTAACCAAAATTCCTAAGATTCCCCAGATGACCGAAACTAAAATAATGCCACAAAGAAATCACAAATTAGGACAGATGAGGATGGTTTAAAAAACAATGGATAGGAAAGGTTAAATACAGTGAAAATAATCCACCATAAAGAATATAAATGACCATTAACCTAAAGTGTATTATTTACGTACCACACAGATGCATCCATATGTTAAGACAATACGACTCCAAACTATAAAACCAAGTACAGAAGCTGTTTAATATACAGTCCAGAGCAATTATACCAACTGCCACTAACACACCCACAGTACACAACTCTTTCTTCCTCACTTCTCAGAATAACTTTCAAATTCATACCCTCGAAGGCTGGACATCCATCATGATGGCCTTACCTGGTGGCACGAACCCTGTCATCTAATTGATCTAGACAAGGCTTGAGGAGTCCTACAATACCGTCGACAAGGGCGTCTCTGGTGGGCGACACAAGGTCCTCGGTGCGGTCGTCCACAGAGGTGCAGGTGCTCTCTGTGTCCGCCATGTTTGTTTACACACCCCCACCTGGCACACTCCGATTACCTCCCTTCTCTCTCACAAAATATCTACTCGTAATACTTAATAATCTATACTTCTGTAAATTAATATAGCATTTTTTGTATCTAAAATGTCCTATTTATGAATATGGGTATTTATAATACGCAGGGCAGGGCCCTTGTTGAGCAGAGAGGAGCAATCTGATTCTCTAACTTCTTCACACAGGCGTCGTGTGTTATGAAAATATTATATAAAATAACACATTTTTCTGGAGTTTGGATATCTGTATTTCTAAGTTTGTTATAAGATTTCGACATATTTGTATTGTATTTAGTTTGCGCAGATCACAATCATCCACATAATTCTTTTGATGTTGACATAGTCGACTGAAAATAATTACACACTGGCAGTCGATGATAGATAGATAGATTGATAGATACTATCTTTCTGTAGTATACGATATTATTTTACCATTGACAACGTGCAGATGAAAACCGCTACAATAAATCAGTCTATAACCTTTTTAATTTTAATTTACCCCTTGACGAGGAAATAAAACTGGTATGCATAATCAATCTTCTGAAAATTATTATTTTTTTATAATAATAAAAACCGTTGTGTTATCTTAAATTAGAGTTGGGTAGTTGTATGTGTATCCTATCTACATTATGTACTGCACAACGAACACTTTAAAATCGTCAAAACTAAAAGATAATTACTACTGTTAATATCTCCTTGAAACTCGAAATTCGGCAAGTTTTATTATCTTATTTCAGAGTGTTTGAGATAAAATGCTCAAACAAGTTTCAACCTAAAGGCCGGAGAGTTCATAATGACATTACTATAGAAGGGCTGCTCGTGACGTCAGAGATCAACTGAGCTGATGTGCGTTTACCTAAGGTAGTCAGAGCAGTCTGTCACCAACAAAACGATTTCTTTTTTACCTTAAACTACAAAAGTATTTAAATATTCTTGTGTTGAGTGTACAGACATACAACCAAGAGGATGTTATTCAAGTGTGTGCAAGAAATAAACAGGATGTATCAACAGAACTACGGTAGGAGGGAGCGATGCACGAGGCTCAAAAGGTTAGTTAATGCTGTTGTCACTCATTGCATAAACAAACTGAAAATAACTTATTCTAATCTTTCCATCAACATTCAATATTTTAAAAGATAATTTAACTAAACAAGTAATATATGAATGTGTGTGTTATGCAGTTTCGCTGAGTCTAGGATTGTGTTAAGTTTTACATTGACATTACGAGTTATAGAAGTGAATAATTATGTACGGTATTATAACTTAGAATTACCACAAGCTTAACTGACAGGTGTTTTAAGCTGATGTGTAATTATGACAATTTCTCCTTCAGATATCTCAGGCTTAGTAATAAAAAAAATTCTGTACTTTGATAAAAAAATGGTTTCTCATTTCAATAACAATTTTGGATCACGGGAAAATTAGCCCATTCTTATTTCACCAAATAATTAGATACAGTACCTTAATTTTACCTGGGAGGGTATATATTACGTTAGGTTAAGGTGAAATATGCAAGGATGCCTAATCGATTTTCAAACAAGTTACACTATATAACTCTTAATTGTATTCTAAAAAAATAGCTTATTCATACATGTAAACAGAACCGTCTTATCTCTCCCTCCGCCATATGTTACAAGAAAAGAAAATAGAGAACCCGTTGTTGATAATTAGTGTGTGACGGCTCGACCCAAAATAGTTGAAGCTTGGGTTTTAATTCTCAAAGATTCATGTTATCATTTTTTTTTGTCGTAACTCAAAGATGTGAAAACTCATTTAACTGCTCCCTTTAAATATGTGACAAACTTGGTATTCAATTTGTGTTGTGACTACGGTAATGAAATAGTTCTTTATCCCCAGTCCCACACAAACAATGAGATACTAGTCTTTAAGAATTCACGATTTAGTTTGGTGTAAGACCCGCGGTGTTTGGTGTACCTCAGGGCAGCGTTCTTGGACCTATTGTTTTAGTAGAGAAGAGGCTAGTGAGCTTGAGTCACAGGCGTGAGCCTCTTCCAGAAGATCATCTGTGAGTATGATATCTGAATATTAATTGAAAAATATCACATGGCAGATTAATATTGTGACTTTCAGTTTCGTATAATAACTGGTCTTGTCAGGTAGAATAAAGTCTGAAGGTAGATGTGTTGAAGTGGAAGAAAATGAATCAGGAAAAGTCACGAACCTAACCTAACCCAACCAAACAACCATTTAAATGCCTAACCTAACTTCATTTAGTCTATTTAAAAATGTACCTATATCTAGTAACGCTTCTCCTAGCCAAAATTGTGACCTTTTCTATGAGTTATTTTTCTTCAGTTTTTTCCGTGTCTAATCCCTAAATTACCACCAATGGTTTTTTTTTTTTTTTTTTTTAATCTTCCGTTATGGGCGGTGTATACAAACTCACGTGATATTGAAGCTACTGGTACCATGATGGATTAAAGAAGAGAAATGAAAATAAATATCACAAAAGCCAATGATGTCCTCGCCTTACTATACACACACACACACAGACAGTCATGTAATCTGGGATCTTACTCCACAAGTCCTCAGAAGCCATGTTGACGTCATAGGTTGTGGCGAAGGATTTATTCCCAAGCTGCTGCTGCTGTTTTAAGAGTCTGGGAGTTGGTAGACATGTTTTATCGCGCCGTCTGTTCCAATATTACCTCTGACCCGGACCCTCAGTTAGTCCTACGATGATTTTTCCCCCTTAGAATACGTTTTTACTGGGTCCTGTCAAAATGGCGCTGAAATTGCATTGAAATTCTACCTTACTTTGGCGCACTTTCTAATTCTCATATGTGGATTGATTTCAAGGTTAAAAATTTATAAGAATTATTAATTTTTAACCTGACAACCGATATTTTATATTAACATTTTATCATAACTAATGCTGAATAATGTCTCTTGGTGATTTTAAGCTAGAAAATTAAGCTTCATAAATTTTAATATCTACTAACAGCTTGACTCGTCTGCAAAGCCCTTCCAAGCATATGTCAGTGATGGTAAAAACAACAGTCGCTGTATTTGAGAAGAAAAATTCAATCTATATTATATTAGTTTCTTATTGGGAATTCCTCTTTCTATTCGTCTTTGTGCCAAATATTTTGTTTCATTCTTTTCTTCTTCTACGATAGGTAACTGTATTTATTGATATTTATTCGTGTGTTCTAGTGTTCCGTAACTTGATACTTCACTCTCACGCGCTTGTGTCGAGGTGTTGGTATTTGTACTTTTTTATTCTGACACAATGATGCAAATATACCATATGACACACACACACACACACACACACACACACACACACACTCACACACACACACACACACACACACACAGAGGTAAAACGACAATAATGAAATAAGAATCTTGGCTGTATGTTGTCTGATCATAAACTATACGTATATCTATTTCGGGAAAAGTCGTTTACTGTATATTCACACCAGCCACAAAGACCCTATCATGGCCAGCCTTGTGGAACCATCATTAATCTCTTAAAGGTCTCTAGCACCACACACGGTGTCGTTAAAAATAAAAGCTGGACTGTGATTGGCTGATGCGAAGTTATGTGCAACTTATTGAATCCTTGTACGTGATTGGTCAATAAGTTAGGCACAGCGAGATCTTGATTGTGATTAGTGAATGAGTTATACCTGATATTATGCATCTTAGGGTAGTTTTGAAGTGTTGGTGGGATTATTATATAGCATTATTGAATATTTTGTGTAAGATCAGTGCCGGATTTAGACCTGTGGAGGCCCATGGGCAGCCTCTTTGAGGAGGCCCCCCTCATTATAACTACCCAAGAGGGTGGGGTGGCGAGTGAAGCGAGCCTAAACATCTGGGAGTTCCGGGGGGCGCTGTAAGTCCCCCGGGAAAATTTTGAAATTTGAACACTTATTTGGAGAATTTTGAAGCGATGATGGAATAGATAAACATGAATTTTAAAGAATGAAAATAAAAATAATCCAAATGAATAAACAAATAAATCAAATATTGTAATATGTGGAGGCCCCCAGATTGTGGAGGCCCCTGGGCAGCTGCCCACTTTACCCACTCCTGAATCCGGCCCTGTGTAAGATGCTGTACTTACAATGTTGAACGCCATATGCATACTGAATTATATTTACCTGTATTGTCTATATTTAAGCAGAACTGTATACCTGGTGTCTATTTTGTCTACATACACACTAACCCAATTATAAACTTATGTGATGAATTTATTGAATATCTATCTATCTATCTATCTATCTGTCTGTCTATCTGTCTATCTATCTATCTACCTATATATCTGTCTGTCTGTCTGTCTATCTATCTATCTATCTATCTATCTATCTAGAGTGTTGTTTATGTTGACACTGGAACGGAAGTGAGTTGGGGCGCTGGCTTGGTTGGCGGAACAAATGACAAGCACTAAGAAGCAGGTGGTGAGCGAGGACATGACAACACGCTGCTGGAGGTGTAGACGGACGGTGTGTGGTCGCTTGTCTTATTTATTTATGATGGCTGACAACACGCGCTGCTCTCTCTCTCTCTCTCTCTCTCTCTCTCTCTCTCTCTCTCTCTCTCTCTCTCTCTCTTTCTTAATCACAACAATTTACGAACGTTAAAGATTTCTGTTTATCTTTGTGTCATGGTTTTAGTGAGAATTTATCTTTTATCCTAAGTGAGCTCGTCAGGTTAATTCTCATATCAGGGAAAATTGAACTTAGGATAAATATTTTAAGAATTCATCTGTGTCGTACCGTAAGTTAGTCAGCCAGATACATTTTTCTCATTACTATTTCGTGAGGAAAAAATTACTATACAGAGCATTAACGTATTGTACTGAAGGGGTTGGAATAGCTCATAGAGTTAGGATAAACCATAGAGTGATGACAAAGACTAGTCAAGATTGTATCAGTGATAGAACAAACGAGCTCTTCCGATCCTCTAGATAAGGGATCTGACCCTAATTGAACCTGGGGAAAAACACGAGGTATTTCTTCTTCCTC